TCGACCTAGACAACCCAACCACAAAATCCATGGCAATGTTATCCCACTTCCACTCTGGAATCTTCATCATCTGAACCAACCCACCAAGCTTCTGGTGATCCACCTTTTCCTTCTAACAAGTCAGATGGCCGCCACATATTCTACCACATCTCTCTTCATACCCAACAACCAATAAAATTGCTTAACATCCTGGTACATCTTAGTCATACCGAGGTGTATGCTAAGTCTGCTCTTGTGAGTCTCTTCTAACACAGTATTTCTCAACTCTGAATCTTGAGGTAGACAAATTCTACCCTTGAACCTCAAAATCCCATCTAATCCTAATTCAAAGCCAATGGCTTTCTTAGTCCCCAATAATACCAAAACTTTTACCAATTCTGGATCTTGTAACTATTTCAGTCCAACCTTCCTCAAGAACTCATAAGTTATGGATACTGCCCCACAACTAATGTGATCTTGAGCTATCTCTGCACAAATGCTCAAATCTCTAAACTGTTCCAAAAGCTCCAATACCTTCACCATCAACATAGAGACATATATGGATTTTCTACTTAGGGCGTCCGCCATAACATTGGCTTTCCCTGGGTGATACATCAGCTGGAAATCATAATCCTTCAAAAACTCTATCCATCACCTCTGCCTCATGTTCAGCTCCTTCTGATCAAACAAATACTTCAAACTCTTGTGTTCACTGAAGACGTTGAACCTAGCACCATAAAGATAGTGCCCCCATATCTTCAAGGCAAAAATAACTGCAGCCAACTCCAAGTCATGAGTAGGATAATTCCTCTCATGGTTCTTCAATTTCCTTGAAGCATATGCCACTACCCTCCTGTTTTGCATCAACGCACACCCCAATCCCTAGTGATAAGCATCACAATACACCTCAAAAGACTCATTGGAATCAGGCAACACCAGCATAGGAAAAGTAGTCAACCTCTTCTTTAATTCTTCAAAACTCTGCTCACACTCATTTGTCCATATGAAAAGTTGATCCTTCCTAGTCAACTGGGTCAACGGCATTACTATCTTGGAGAATCCCTCAATGAATCTCCTATAGTAGCTCGCTAAGCCCACAAAACTTCTAATATCTGAGATTGTCCTTGGACGTTCCCACTGAAGTACCGACTCTATCTTAGCCGGATCCACTATAATCCCTTCGACAGAAATAACATGCCCTAAAAAATTCACCTCACTCAACCAAAACTCACACTTTGCCAGTTTGGCATATAACTGCTTCTCTCTCAAAATCTCTAACACCAATTGCAAGTGTTCTCCATGCTCCTTCGGGGTTCTTGAATAAATCAAAATGTCATAAATAACAACCTGGCAGGTCTCACACAATCTATAGCGTCAGGGGAAAGCAACAACATGTCATTCCCTTACCATACATAATGCATAAAATAACACATCATAATTAGGCAGTTATATACATAATAGGAAACAACAACTGATGTCCCATGTATATATATATATAACTTGATAATATAATGTAATACTCTATCCAAAATGACTGGCGGACTACAATAAGATATTCTTAACAAAAGTCTCAGCTCTCCCACTGAATCTCATCAAGGTCTGCTACCCTTCACAATACCTCTTAATCCTGATATGCTCGCATACAATGTATGGTCACGGCAGTCCCAAATCCACAAGGGAAAAACTTGCTAGGGTAAGCTCAGAGAAATAATCATCATAAAATAACATCAATATAAAAAGAACAACAATAGAATATGATATTCAGCTTTACATCTTTCAAATTCCAAATCACAGCACAGTCAACAAGAGATATACATATATACATATATGATCAACTAATGCATCGTCACACATATACAACTAGGAGATCTCCAACAACTAAGGTTGAGCAGTCTAGGTGGCATAAACCCTACCAAATCCAACGTTTGACCTATCTCAACCAGGTCAGGTATAGGGCATCGTTAGGAACTCCGAAGAGTACTAGGTATAGACAACAATAGGTGCTTACTCGGGTGTGCCACTTAGACTCGGAGGTCCAGTACTATTGTCAGGGTAGAAGGGTATGGGTATGAACCTACCACGGCCTTGGTCTGCATAACCAATCCATATATGGGGTTATTCCACCCACTGCTCTCCAAGTACCACGTACCCTCCAGTACCTAGCCAAAGACTACATCTCTAACTAGATACCTTACTCAATTTGGTCATTCAACCATGACATGGATCGACTACTTCCACATCGCCCACAGTACTAAGGGATTCAACTTTAAAACAAGTTTCAATTTATCACCTTAGTATTATGTATCTCAACATAGGACATATATCTTCACCATATGTCCCTAACTTTTCAACTTTACAACAATAGGCAACTTTACAACATTGCAACAACAAGCATCTTAACAACTTTACAACAATAATCATCTTTACAACAATAAGCAACATAATAACATCTTGAATAAACAACTTGAACTACTATAGTCATCAACATCTCAACTTACAACATATAACCAACTTAAGCAAACAACTACTCAATTCATCTTCATCATACAACTTAACAACTAAACCCAATTCAATGAGCATACTCACGCCTGGCTTAACCATCTCACGGCCGGCATGACCTACAACCCGAGAGCTACAAGGCTCATCCACGCCCGGCGCAATCATCTCGCGCCCGGCGTTCTCAAGTCAGAGACACAAAAGAGTCTTCCACGCCTTGCGCACGTCAGACAGAGATCGCTAAGGGTCTCCACGCCCGGCGCGTCAACCCTATGCCCGATGCCACATCAATAAAACACCCCACAAGACCACTTATCTGATATCGCGCTCGACGTGGTTCACACACGCCCGACGCAATTCATCCAGAGAGCTCCCATTACAAATCGCACCCGGCGCAACTAGCCTCGTGCCCAGCGTGATTTAACAATGGTGATCCCTGATGAAGACATGCCCGGTGCCAAGAACTACACCCGGCGCAAGTTCGAACAGCAACTTTCAAAACTTAGAATTTTCGTCTAAAATCCTGAAAATCGGAAGGATCCACAACATGCAATCCATACCACATGATATCCAAGTATCAAACAATCTAAAAACGCACACAGATCCTACATGCACACACCTAGTGCATCAAAATCGTCAAAATCCTTTTTAAAGAAAACTAGAAAATGGAGCTTCCCTAACCTTGAATCCACAAACTCCAAGGTTTTGAGCTAGACGAAAGTTTTGGGGAAGGACTCCAAGCTACCACTAAAAGAACGAGGAAGGAGAATGAGTTTCAACTCCACAACTCTAGCTCCACCATGCCCGAGAAAGAAGAACCTTGCGAAGAAGGAGAGAAACCAGAGGAAACGAGGATGTTCCAACCTTCGAGGAAAAGGCTAAAAATGAAAGAAGCTCGGGTCTTACAATCTTCCCAACAACAAATTTTCGTCCTCGAAAATCGACCTACTAGAGGAATAAAAAGGGATAAGCATCTCTTATCTCGTTCTCCAGCTCCCATGTGGCTTCACTGGTAACCACGTCCCAAACAACTTTAACAAGATTGATGGTATTGCCTCTCAACTGCTTCTCTTTGCGGTCAACCACTGAACTAGGCAACTGCTCAAAGGTCTGATTCTCCTTCAACTGAACTGAGTCCTGCTCCACCATATGACTCGGGTTATGCACATACTTTCGCATAAAAGTGAAAACTAGATATGTTAATTCTCAAGAATAAATAACTTGTAATAACACATATAAAGTATGTAATCTCTATAATTCTCTCCTCTCCGCTCTAACCTATTAAGTTGAGCAATAGAATCTATGTATGTCACTTTACCATTAGCTACATCATGGGACTCTCATTGGAGGACCACCGCATAACAAGACTACGAGACACACCATCCCTATCTTTGAGCTAGTCTAAAACACTATTAATGATAATAGCGAGAAAAAAATTATATACATAATTATTAATTATAATCCAAGAATATAATAAGAAAAATACAACAAAGATAAGCTGGACTTCATAGTTAACAATTACAGAGTTGAATAAAAAATATATATTATTTAAGTGGCATTTGTTTTTAAATTCTAAACAAAGTTGCTTCGTCATAAATTTATTGCACGGGCTGACCATGGATAATTTGAAAGATAAAACGAAAATTGCTTGACCACTACAGTCACACGTTCAATAACTCGTCTCACTCTCGCATTCGTTAATTATTGCTCTCAAGATTCGTTTCACATCATTTCCTTATCCTCCAACAATTTTATATTTCCCTTTCTAATAATAATTGTTAAGCGAGATACATCATCTCAGTGGATCCATAATTAAATATTATTGTTCTTATGCATGAAATTTGGGATTTAAAATATATAATAACAGTTTTCGATGTATGGAAACTAAAACCCAAAGTCAAATTGTTAGTCCAGAATTCGAATTTAATCATCGATAAAAATAATTTTTAATCAAATTTTATTTTTCATTCGATTAAATTATACTGGTTTAAGACGAAGTCTTATAACATTAATACAAAAACAAAAAATTATATAAAAACTAAACTTACTAATATTTTAATTATATTCTTATTCTTGTGATCAGCTAAAAATAGAAATACATGGATAACACTATAATTGTTTATAAAATAGGTTATGAGTCATAACTTATATGTATCAATTTTATTTTTGTGAATTTCAGAAGGAGGCAGAGGAAAATTTAAAAGTTGTCTGAAGAAACTACATGTAGATCTGAAAGAGTAAACTGATTAATTCTAAACTACGCTTGATGATCATCAATTTATGTTGGCTTAATTTTTCTAGTGATTTAATATTTCATGAAGGAATTTTGTTCCAAGAAGTAGCCGGTACTATTATATTAACTCTACTCTCCTTGCGTTGTACGTCACGCATAAATAAAGCACCAATAACAATGCAAAATGACTTCAATTTGCACTGTGTTGAAAGCGATGCGTCCAAAATGGACATTCTCATACCACACTCCACTGCTAGCACTCGTTGTCGAGTTGTGAGCATTAATTATTTAGCATCCAAGTTCCCTGTTTGGCCCAAAGTGTACTTTAAGATCAGCTTCAGTTAGTTGCCTTTTAACATCACTGAACTTTACTCTTGAGGTGCATGCTTTGCTTTCTGTAAGAAGGGGATGGCAAAAGGGGTCTTCTGCTTCAGGGATTTGCTTCCTTTTGGGGCCATGGTCCTCATGGAGTGCCTCAACGTTGCCTTGAACACTCTCTTCAAAGCAGCCACCTTGAGAGGGATGAGTTACCATGTCTTTGTTGTTTATGCCTATGCTGTTGCTGCTATTGTTCTCCTTCCTGCACCCTTTATCTCCAAAAGGTTCAGTTCACATATAACAATTACCTTAACTATGACAAAAAAAAAAAAAAAATCATTTGGGCTGCTACAATTGATGCATGTTTTTCTTTTCTGTGTCCTTGTGCAGATCAAGAGTGCTTCCTCCACTCAGTTTTCCCATACTACGCAAAATTGGTCTTCTTGGGCTAATAGGGTACATGATTTGACTGCCAGAGCCTGATTAATTTAACCCGAAATTCCCACATATTTTGATCCAATCGATATGGGTCTTGCAATTTGCAGGTGTGCATCTCAGATCATGGGATACACAGGAATCAGTTTCAGTTCCCCCACTCTCTCCTCGGCGATTAGCAACTTGGTGCCCGCTTTTACTTTTTTGCTTGCCATCATTTTCAGGTTCTTCCCCTTTCATATAGAATACATCCCCATTTTTTTATCAGTCGAAAATATAATGATACTATTCTAACCCTCCATCATTGGACCAATCCCATGGATTCAGATTATACACATCAGCATATGTTTGGTGTTACTATGTTGGAGAAAATATACCACATTAATTTTCACCCTTTTGAACAGAACCAAATAATAGTGGAAGTGTTTTGTATATGACTAGTTATATTTTATAGCGCGACTCAAATTAATTTATTTTACTCCGCTTAGAATTTAAAGTGGACAATTGCGTTTTCTTTGTCCTTTTATAAGTTTTTTTCTGTTTTTTTTTTTTTTTTTTGCATATAACAATAGCCAATTCAATTAACCAGGTATAGATTATTGTTATCTTAAGAACCAATGTCATGATAGTGTTTTTCTATTTTATCCACTGGTATTTTTCATATTTTTCCCAAAAACACGACCCTTTTATGTATTTTACTTACTTTTCTTGTTTTCCACTTTGCACTGGGCTACAATTTTACTCTAAGAGAACTAAGAAGCGCTACAGAATTTTGACATTGATCGTTGTGGATAATTTTACATATACAAATGCATTGTTTTAACTATTAATTTCTATATATTTTACCTGATTTTAAAACTTTTTGAATTAATATCGTTCAGTCTTTAATTACCAATTGAATAAACAATGATTAAACTAATTACTGCAAGCAGTTTTTGTTTTGGTTCCAAAAGGTTTCAGCTACGACTATGCCTGCATGGAGGTTGTAATAATTGCACTCAAATCAATCAAATTGACAAATCGATGGCCTAGTCACCCCACCCTTCTATTTCTAGATTATAACTTAAATGATGAAGGATATAACACAATCTTGGTTCCATTTATGACCTTAAAGTGGAAGTGGGATTAAACTACTCACAAGTTGTGTTATTTTATCATGCAGTCTTATTTTCTCTTGTTCTATTTTAGGATGGAAAAGGTGGTTGTAAGAAATGCAAGTAGTCAAGCCAAGGTGTTGGGTACCATAGTATCAATAACAGGAGCATTTGTAGTGACTCTCTACAAAGGACCTCCAATCAACATTGTTCATAAACATTCCTTGTCACTTCATCAACTAATCAACAGTATCAATTCGGTTGATCGAAGTTGGATAATTGGTGGTCTTCTTCTGACAGCAGAATATATACTGGTTCCATTATGGTACATTGTACAGGTATAAATTGTTTTTGATAAAGAAAGTTTCGACAAGCGAATTGTTAAAACGTTTTTTAATTCCGAAGTTGTTGACTCTACAGGTGCAAATCATGAAGGTGTACCCAAATGAACTAACTGTGATCTTCTTTTACAATTTAAGTGTAAGCATCATGGCTGCAATCGTAGGTATATTTACAGAGACAAATGCAAGCGCTTGGAAAATAGGACTAGACACAGCATTGGCTTCTATAGTTTGCTCTGTAAGATGCACGCAAAAATTGCCACAGATCTTTATTCTATACTATCTCTATAGTATATGATAATTATTCTAAAGTAACCTGCATTTGATATTATTAGGGAATTTTTGGATCATTTGTGAACAATGCAGTTCACACGTGGGTACTACGTATAAAGGGGCCTGTCTATGTGGCAATGTTCAAGCCACTCTCAATTGCCATAGCTGTTGCCTTGGGAGTCATGTTCCTGGGCGATACCCTCCACCTTGGAAGGTATTTTTATGAATTGAATTATGATTATTCAATTTTCAACTTGCCTTTTCCTTTATTGTGAAAATCTCTCTGCTTCAAACATTTTTTATCACTGCTACCCTCCATACTCTCTCTGCCAAAGCAGCTAAGCTAAGTCTATCCACATGTCTGCAACATTAATTTGAAAACCATCCGAAACATCATTTTAATTTAAGCCATGTACCATGTTGAATTTTTTTATACCATATTTGATACCTAGAGTCTGTTCAAATATAAATTCAGAAGAGCTTTTGAGAGTTTTCCTACAAAAAATAAAGATCGTTTTTTGATAGAGGAACTCTCGAAAATTTTTCTAAACTTGTATACAAACATGTTCCTAATCTGTTGTACCCAATTCCTTTATCATCTGTCATTTTCTATTGATCCTTTCTATTTAAATATCGATAATCATAATAGTTTTGATGATTTAACACCCTTTGCACTTTAAACAGCTACGATCTTTACTCTTATCTTTATCACTATTTCCCGTGGATCGAGAAATGATTGAGTGTGTTGCATTGATCATTTTGCAGTCTAGTGGGAGCCACGATTATATCGATTGGATTTTATACTGTAATGTGGGGCAAAGCGACAGAAGAGGGGGACAAAGATGTCTCCGACCAGCAATCACCAACCACGGAGAACGTTCCTCTCTTGCAAAGCTACAAAACTGATTCAACTGAAAACAAAATGCACGCAAGTGTATAAAAGACAAATAAAACTGTTCATAAAACTTAAGATCATAGAAAATCACACAAAGCAAAGCAAATACAACTTTGTGGATCAAAAGGATGGTTTTGTTGTCCCCCAAGTCCACTCCTAGAGGACAGCATATGTAAGAAACAGTTCAACTAAATAAGAAGTCTTCTTTAACCAAGACAAGTAATTAAGAAACATAAACGAAACTTTCTAGATTAAGGAGCAACCAATCTGCAAGTTGGTGTCAAACATTCACAAAGGCGACTATATTATGACAAGAGAGCAACTTCCCTGTCTCTTGTAACCAGCCACATGAAGATTCTGTAACATCCCTATTTTTTTTTTTTTGTTCTCCTGCTAATTAGGAGCTTTTACTTTTCTACAAACTTTAGTCTGTTGAGTTGACTATGAAACTAATTCTGGGTGTAAATCATAAAGCAATGTTGCAAATCATAAGTTGATAATTTATCAAGAATCATTATACGTGATCTCTTCGTTATCTTTCACTTTGTAGCTCTGCAACAAAGGATTCGTACTACTCGATGGAGGACGTATGTCTAAGTCCTCACTCAATTCTTCTTCTTTTGCTTTCCCCCATACAACAGCATAAAACCCAAATGAGAGTATCACTGCTCCAACAACACTACAAATTTTGAACCAAGCAATGTAAATGTCAAAAAGTGCATTACAAAAATGAATCACATATTCATCTCATTAATCATGGTTTCATTAGATAAACTTTTTTAGACGTACTTAAATTTTTTTATAAGTTAAAACTAACTTATACATAAAGGTATTTTTGGATAAGTTTTTTCATAAACACTTTTAAGAGAAAAAAATATAATGAAAAATTTAAATCAATTTTTCCATAAATTAAAATTAGCTTATGCATGAAAAGTAATATTTAAGAGAAGCTAATTGGAGAAAGTTTCTATATATTAACTTATGCATAAACTAATTTTAGTTTGTGTGTAATTTTTTTTTTCTCTTTCCTATTTTTCTCTAAGTATTAAATTATGTACAAATTAATTTTAACTCATGCAATATATATATATATATATATATATATATATATATATATCCTTTTTTCTTCTTTTTTTTTTCTCCTTGAAATACTTCTAAGAAGTTTACCCAGACCAATCCTGAATACTTTCAATTGATTCCAATTTTTCAGAATTAAAATTCAACAACGAAAAAAGGGAATGAATTCCATACGTTCCAAAATACAGTGCATCACCGAGGAATATGACACTTAAAGCGGCAGCAATGGCTATGGACAAGGGCTTAAAGATTGATATATACATTGGGCCTTTAAGATGAAGGCCCCAAGTGTGAACCAAACTACTTAGGCCCGTGCAAAAGAACCCCTGCATGAAATAGTTGAAATTTTCAATTTGTATTTCATTTCCATGACTCGTTTATCTACTAAATTTAAATTTGTTAAGATTCTCACCGAATATATGATGGCGATTAATGTAATATCAGGATTTATCTTCCAAGCACTCAGATTCGCTTCTAATAGTAAGCATACTGGTGCAGATATGAGAGTCCCACTCAGGTTGTACAAGAAGACCACAATAAATTCTGCTGGGTATTGTTTCATTATCTTGGTCTGTTTTCAAGCAACAAAATTGTATTTAATTTAGTATCTTTAGCTATTATTTAATTTGAGAAATTCTTTTAGAATTTATTATTATAAATAATTACTAAAATATTACCTTATTTCTTATGTTTCAAATATTTATACATAAGTAGTGAAAATCAGATTTTACATTTTAGTTATTTTCTATATAAATCTTCAGAAACAAAAAGTACAGTGAAATGAAAAAAGTTTTGAAATGAGTTTAATACCTGAATAATATACCAGATTGGGACCAAAAGAAACTCAATGGCTAGTAGAGATCCACCAACAATCCAATTCATTTGTGATGTTGAGGCCATTGGAGAATCAACGGTAAGTGATGGTTGTGTAGATGAAGTTGATAAGACTATGGGACCCTTATAGAGGACAACTACGAGTGCACCTAATATGGATACCAATGAACCCATGATTTTGGCCCGAGTACCTGAGCTTCCCCAAACTACCTTCTCCATCCTTCATAGTTCATAGTTATAACATTTAGAAAATGAAGTGTAATCATAGCTATTAATTGAAAAGATAATTATTAAGATTTTAACGATTTCATTGTTTATTATATATGTGTGTAGTTCATGATGATTTCACGTGTTAATTTTTCAATCCGTAATTTTAACTATATATTTTATATTCAAAAATACATTTCTAATAAATCTAACCTCTCCATGAAAAGTACAAAAGGCGGGGAAAGAGGGGTTCCCGAACCTAAGTGATGTTCTCAGTTCTACTTCCATTCCGAAGAATAAAGATAGAAATGGACGATATATCATGCATAATAAGAACAATAATAACCTCTGAAAGCCAACCAAAGGCAGCATACTTTGATTTATGATTTCTTGTAGGAATGGTTCATGTGATTTATGCTTTCTTGCAGCAATATAAAAACTAAGTCAGTCGTCTTCTTCTTGGAGTGGTGCATGTGATTTATGATTTCTTGTAGCACATTAGCACTGACTCTAGTGCAAGAATGAAACTGATTTTTAAATGGGTAATAATTTCCTAAAAAAGGATCAAAATCCATTAACAATCATTTTTAAAATGATCTTGCATACCACCTTGCACAAATTAATTAACAGGCCTAAAATCATTGAAAGATGTAGGGTGATAACCTTCAAAATTGGAACTATAAAAGCTTTAGTAACCAAGGTATCAAAAGTTCTTGTTTCAAAGGCTTCTTTCACAAACTTTCATGTCTTCTCCCACATCTTCCAACTTTTTTAAAGTAAATACGTTGGAAACCATTGAGCCCAAACGCCTTAGAAGACTTTGTGATTGGCAAAATCAGAACTCCTTTAGGCTCTATTCATACATCACATTTTCACCATGGGATATAGGGCTTAATGATGGAAATCTAATCCCCAAGGATCCATTTGGAAGAGGTAAGACCAAGAAAGGTGAAGGTTGATCCAAGGAGGCTCACCCATGAAGACCATTGGGCCTTTAACTAGGTCCATGGTTAGGAAGCTAGAGAAGACTTCTAAAGAGGAGGTGCTTCAAAGACCTTTGCTCATCATGAGCATTGATTATAGTTCCTCTTATTAGTCTCTTAAGTTTCCATTGTACATACTTGTATAGTTGTTTTCTTGTACCTTGTATATAGTAGATACTTGTATAGGTGTATTTTTGCCTTTGTATTTGTGAGGCACTTTATTTCCTTT